CAGATGGATAAACCCTGGGCTGAATGCCTGGAGCCAGAGGAAGGGATAACGCAGTGATAGACGTAGGACACGTTCATCGGTTCTGAGACAGGAAAGCATAGCACATTCATGAAATTGCAGGAGTGAGGGAGTGCCCCTCACAGGGTTGTACAGCATGCAGGTCAAACTCAGGCTGTGCAAAGGATGTAAGTGGATGACTGCAAGCAGAAGGATACTGGGATGCTGTTAAGGGTTATTAAAGAGCAAGAGAAGGTATAGCCTTTGGCAGGACTCTGGACCTTGGGACCTGCAAGAGTAATGTAGATCCTTGACCTGAGAGACGAGTGGATGGCTTGGCAGCTGTCACTCCAGCTCCAGGATTGGAGGGATGGGCACTGGGGTGAACAAAAGCCAGGTCAACATGCTGACCAGAGGTTACCAGTAGATTACCAAGAGGGAATCTGTCAGGGTCCTACATAGAGAGGGACTTGACCATGGCCTCTGATATTATCCATGTAATATTCCTGTCTCAGGTCAGGATGATTCCTGAGAACCAGGGGGAAGAGATGGCAGCAAACACTGTAGACACAGGAAGGATGATGAACCCAGAAGCTTGGAAAGGTTTGGTTTGAAAACAGGTTCTGGGTGAGAAAAGTAAACATAAGAAAGAAATACAGGGCAAGGTGGGATTCCCAACTCCAGTAAAAAGCCCCAAGAACTCCTTTCTGGATAACTGAGAAGACTGAGACAACCATTCATTAATTCTGGAAACTACCATATGCATTTGAATGTTCAAAATGTCTTTAATGTGTTTAAGAGATCTCAATGCTCCTATTTGCCACTACTTATAATCTAGATAGCTGGGTGTGGAGTTTGATCTGCTGCAACAGTATATAGCTCCAGAAGCACCTTCCCCCAATTTACATTGTTCTTGTTATTCCCAGAGTTTTTACTATTTGCCAGGGTCCTAGTAAGGTGGCTCATATACATGCACAGTAATAACTTTTTTTCTAGTAAGTTTGAATGTTGATGTGACTACCAGAAAAAAGGGAATACAATCAGATGAAACAGTCTCCTATCAGCAATGAAGGCAGATGAACATCCACTAGAACTGTATGTTATGCTGCTTATTATATAAAAATATCTGAAAATATTATTTGATTGCAATTCTTCTAAGAAACTCTCCCTCCCACTCTCTGGTATCTCTAGGCAGCATGAATCAACATATAAATCATCACACACATCTTTAATTGTCCTCTTTTTAAAATATTCTTTATATGCTATTTTTGCAAACTCTTGCTTTTGTTTTTCTACCTAGGTTAGTCTCTTACCTTTGAAGAAGACTTGGTTTTCTAAAGGTGTACCTCTGAAGGTGAAAGCACATGTAGGTTATGACAAAAACGAGTGGAGGCTATGTATGGGTTTTGCTCTAAGTGAAATAGCAGTTTCTGTAGTGAAAATCAATAATATCAATTAACTGGCTATATGGGGTGTGATAAAAACTATAGTGAATATTAAGAAATTTATTAAAGCAAAAGACACATAGTCATTAATCACTCTCAAAATCCTCTCTCATGTTTCTAGCATATATCCCATAGTTCTTATCCATTTATCAAAGCGTTTCTGGAAATCCTCTTTCATAAGGGTCTTACTTTGTCCTGCCTGCCTAGATGTCCTTTTAAAATCAATTTAAAAAGTTTACCTTTTATGATCATTTTGACTTTGTAGAAAAGCCAGAAGTCACAAAGAGCCAGATCTGGTGACTAAGGTGAATGAGGACACGCTGCTATGGCTCTACGAGCATGAGTTTCTCTGCCGGATGGTATTCGGCAGCATATTTTTGGACATACCTCATAAAAACTAGAAGGAGGACTACCAGAGCTAATTGAGAAAGTGGCAAAAATGTTGCATTGAGTGTATTTAAAGGAAAAAGGATTAATCTGGGGGACATTAAAGGAAATGTGTCTTTTTCTATAATTAATTTAAAAAATTCAATATTTTCCCAGATATTTTAGTCACACTTCACGTTACATGGACGCAGCTTTTTACATTATGGAGATTCTAAAAAAGCAAAATTGTCAAGCTTGCTGAAAACTGATATCATACGTGGTAAGGGGAAATAGTTTCATCTCCACTCACAGTTATTTCATTCATATTTAACAGATTTGTTCAGATTGTATCATGGTCTGTTAGCAAGAGATGTATGATATTAAAGATAATATGTAATATAACAACCATTGCTTATATCCTATCACCATGTTTTGAAATTCTGTATCATTTTTATTGTTCTTTGTGCCATTTTGTTTACATATTTGTTTTTGTTATTTTGTTTTTCCTCTTTTTAAAATGAAAAACAAAATTTATATGTATATACAAGGATAGCTGGAGTAGGTGTATTGCTGATGTCTGTGGTTTATTGAAAGGAACAGTCGATGCTTAAAATTTTGTTTTTTCCTGACCAAGTTTGCACACTTGAATCTGGTAATCAGAATGACTGATCTGAAAACAACACGCAGCATAAGAACCATCATTGAACTCCTACCATCTTGAATGGTGAAGCTCTGCATCATTTCTAATATATTTTTTTAATTATTTGTTACTGTCTTTGATTGTTTGATCAATCTTACATTCTTATGTCTGGTGGGCTGAGCAACTTTGTGAAAGGTAACAGCATGTAATGTAGCAACCATTGTAAATTTCTATCATTTTGTTTTGAGGTCATGCATCATTTTTGTTGTTATTGTGTTGTTTTGATTTTGTCTTCATTTTTGTTTTGTTAGTTTTTTATCTTTAAAATACAAAAACACAAAATACAATTGCCATAGGATCATATTTTCACCTAAATTGGTATTTCAATGGTATGTTTTGTTGAAGTCACTTCACTTTGGATCTTCGAGAAGAAATATACTCAAGATAAACCAAATCACATGAAGGAAGAGGAAAACGTTTAAGAAGTGAAAAAGTAACTTCACGGACACAACAGACAAGATGCAGCCAGTCTCAATGAAAACTAAACAAACTAAAGTGAACTAAATCCCTTCTGGTCTCTTGCTGTTGGGCTGCTTTCCATCACTAGAGTCCTCCAGTAGCACACAAGGAACTATGCCACCATCCCCTAGAGCAGTCATTGGATGAGTTACTCTTGGGTAGGTACCATTTCCGGTCCAACTGGCAGCTGAGAAATGAGGCAAAGACTACAGCATGGTCCCCTAGACCTGCTCCTGGAGGTGCTGGGTGAGTGCAACAGGTTAAAAGATGGACAGTGTGCAAAACTATCACTCCAGAAGAAAGATCAGAAACATGAATACTAATGATAAATAGATTGATGCTATAACACCAGGCTTGAAATCAAGGCAGACATCAGTTCAGTGGTTCACAAGGACTTCTAACATCTGAGTGCTGGCCTCTTAGGAGGTGTTCAGCTTTAACCAAAAGATCTTTAGATACACACAACCATGTGTAGTGAAGCAAACACATCCTTAATATTCTCCCCCTACTTTAGGCTCACCTTCAACCACTTAACTTCTCAATCTAATTTAAAGTGGATACAATTCACTTTCCTTCTTCTTATCCATCCTGCTTTGGCTAATCTGCATGTTTAGATAAGTCTGTGATGAGTTTAAGAGAGGGCAGTGTATCTATTTGCAGCTCTATGTACACTAGATATCTGGTTGTAGAAGCACGTATGCTTCCACACATCCTATATATACCTGGTCATGGGCGATGGTGTACTGTCCATGCTGCTAACCCAGTCTAACAGCACAGGGTATGAAGATTTCTATCACATTCCATCAAGAAGAGAACAATATTCAAACACTCATGTCACTACACATCTTAATTCTTCTGTGGCAGCAAGTACTAGAGTCGATCAAACTCATCTTTCAGCTTCCACAGCAGGGTGTCTACAGAGCCCAGGACCAAGACCCCTGCCACACCTCCATCTAGGACAGACCATGGGACCGGTCCTCACTGGGGCATGGTGAGTGCACTGACACAACTGACCATGCTATTGAGGATGAGAGCTCAGGGGATGGCACATTCCTTACCACAGAATGAGCCTTCCTGCATTAGCCTAGTTCATGAGTGAGAAATAGATTGCTATTTGGCTAAGTCCCTGCAACACCAGAGCGCATGTTCCACCATCGCTACTGTTTCCTTATCTAAGAAACCACCTTAAAAATGTGCAGTGCAAAAAAAAAGAAAAAAAAGACAGCATCAAGGAGGACAAGTGGAAATTATGTTTGTGAGCAATAAAAATTAAACTTTACAAAACTTCATTTATGTTGCTTTCACACAAATAGCCACACACTCTTGGGTTCTTATACATGAAACACGGTCCTTGGCAGATAATTGATTTTGTGGTCAAGTGACCAAAGAGTTGTTTTTTTCTCTTACATTTCATAGTCTCAATAATTGTTTTCAACCACGAATGACAAAGTATTTTCACATGTGGGGAACACGCATATTTTCAGCACCTGTGGTTGATATTTGAGAGATAATTTATAATTTTTCATGGGGGTGGGGCACCGGGAATCAAACTTGGGACGTCACGCTTGCCAGGCAGGTGCTGAACCACTGAGCTAAATCCCTGGCCCAATAACTTCTCATTATATATTATCAAGTAATACATTTTAAGCCAAAATGTCTATCTCTTCTATTTCAGAAACCTGTAACTCTGGATCATTCAGGAATTAAAAAAAGAAAACGAACCAAGCTGAGAGCATGTGACTTGGCATTTCCTGATTTCCAGCGAACTGACTAAAAGCAAAGTTTCCTTTTGTGTACAATTATATAATTTGCATTCAGGGCAGGCATTAATTTTGTTAAAAGGGTTTCAAGTACAAATCAGGCCATTCTAGACACCTTCTGAACATCTTAAATCAGGTCAGTTAGGATGTCTTCCCAACATCTGACTGAACGTTCCAATTCCCTGGCCGGGTTTGAAAGGAGAAGATAAACACCACAGTTTCCTCTCAGTGGCAACCGAAGCCCAGAATACGGAGGGAGCAGAGTGCCAGTACCTGATGCTGTTCATGCTGCCTGCCTCCGATCCAAGCTTGCATCGCTCCAGTTGGCTGGCGACGATTTGGCGTTCAGCCTCCAGCTCTCGGGTCAGCCTTTCAAACTGTAATTCCTGAAAGAAACCCACCGGAAGGATAAATGTTACCAACTGTAGGAAATGTGAGATTCAGATCGAAATGACAGGACGGTGGAGGGGCCACACACGGTCGGACCAAGTGCCAAATTTGAGCAAAGAAGGGTGCTCATAAGGCCATCTTATTATTCCAAGTAAGAATAATTTGAAGGTTGGATATAGGACCCCCACCAGCTGTGAGGCACCGAATAACTTGTCTAAGATTCTTTTTTTTTGTTGTTGTTTGGTTTTTCTCCGGGACCGGGAACCGAACTCACGACCTTGAGCTTGCCAGGCAGGCGCTTTTGCCGCTGAGCTAAATCCCCAGCCCCCTTGTCTAAGATTCTATTTCATCATTTACAAAAGCGGTTTAAAATGCTTATTTCATAAGTTGGAGCGGAAGATTACGGGAGATACACTGCGGGAAAAATTGTCCTTGCTGCTTGTGGCAACTGATCAGTATTCAACAGATATTAATAATCTTGACACCCAATATGTAGCATTTAATAAAGAGACAATTCACTCCCTATCACGACTTGCAGTATTGTCTTTATCCCCTACTGGACTTCTAGCTGCTTCTGTGTATTTAATTTGGTCTTTAAATTACCTCCACATTATAGATTGATGAAAATAATGCTTTAAATTTCCGCATGATGACAATGACATTGATTCTGAGCAGTCTAATTACTACATGCAAAATCTTTGAGATACTTGATATACCACCTTAAAAGTAGTCAATTAAATCAATAAAAGTTCTCCTACAATGCTGACTAAAGTTTTGAATTAACTTTAATGAAACATGATCCATCAAAACTTTAAAGATCTTAGATATTCCAACTACAGCACTTTTATACTGTATTTTATTTGTTTTTTACTATATGCCATATTTTAGTCTTTATATTCCTTTACTATGCTACTACTGTTTTAACAAACAACTATAGCAAGTCATGCATTTGAATTAAAAGTTTCAGGAAAAGATGGTACATTTAACTTCTTTTTAAAAAACATTATCTGCACAGTTATATTTCAGGGATAAAAAATAAGAATGCTATCTCATGTGAAAAAGTAGAGTATGGTACATCTTGGAGAACTATACTTCCCAAAGGTGCATGAATTTATCTTTCAAAATATAAAACTTTATTAGCTACCCTGATACTCTTTAAAATATAGAATATAATGTGCCCTTTATATACATTACAAATTCCCTAGTTCTTTTTCTTTCCTTTTTTTATGCTAAGATTATTTCAGGGGATGAAGTAAAAGACACAGCAGATGAAAGCTTGACTTTGGCCTCTCAGGAGCTGAAACTGAGAAGGCATTTCCTTGTTTAAGCACTGGCTTCCATTATGACATACTCAGAAGGACATCACCCACTATCAGCAAGAAATGATAACAAGACCTTGGGTGAATGCACCTCAGGCATTCACCTCCCTTTCTCACTTACAAAAGCATCTACATTCTAGAAGACTTTTCATTGCCAGTTTTTAAAATATACTGTGCCTTGAGTCTGTCTGTGAATAGGACACTAACTCATACCTCTGCCTTAATAATACCTTAAAAACCTAATATTTGCATTCCTTTTGTGGTATTGGTACATAACACGAGCCCTTTTCTTCCATCCCTTCTCCCTTCCTTCCTTCCTTCCCACCTCCCTCCACCTCTTCATCGCTTTCCCTTTGAGAAAGCTCTGTCTCCCTATGTCCCATTATCTTTTATTTTACTCTTTATTTATAAGTTGGGTTTCTCCTATGAGGGAAACTAATATTTAGGTTTATGTGATTAATTTCATTTAACATTATGGATTCAAGGCATGTCCATTTTCATACAAATGACTGAAGATTATCTTTCCTTATGACACAGTAGTATACCATTGAGTGCAAATCATCCGTTCATCTGTTGATGGACATTGAGGCTGCTTCCAAGATGTAGCTGTTATGAATTGTGCTGTTGTAAAACTGGCTATGCATGCTGCAGGAAGGGATCAAGGGATGGGTGAGGGGGAGAGAGAGAAGGGGATGGGGATTGAAAAAAGGAATTCAGATGTATTCTGTGTATGTACTAATTCCCCACAAGGAATGTAAACATTATGCATTATACACATGTGCTATAGAAGAAAATGATACCCTAATATTGAAAAATACCCTCATAAGGAAAGACCGTATAGAGAGCTCCCATGGAAATTCATGACGTGTGTTATCCAAACAGAAATCTTAAAATGCTGCCTCTCTCTCACTGTTAGAAGACCACCCAGGTGACACAGTGCCACAATCTGACTGAGGATTTGGAAGCTCTGGGCTCTGGGACGACACAGGCCACCGTGGGGGTGCACAGGCGTGAAGCTGTGGCCACAGCATGTTTTCTCTGCACTGGACTTCAGGTGGGGCGTGATGGGAGACTGCTTTCGCATTTGTGAACTGCCTTTTCAACAGACAGGCAGGATTTGTGGCACTCTGCGACCCCTTGCGTATAATCTTTCCACCGATTTCCTCTCCTCCTCTTCCTTTAGTTTAAAGGACTTCCTGGAATAGTTCTTGCACTGTGGGTCTCTAGTCATGGATGCCTTCAGCTTGATACTACCCCTGCCCCACCTTTTCATACATCCAGTCCCGAACCCAGGGGAGCTCTACCATGGAGCTACATCCCCATCCCTTTTTATTTTTTTGTTTTGTGACAATGTCTCATTAAATTACCCAAGTAGTGAGGCCTCCTGCCTCACACTCCTGAGTAGCTGGCTTGTACTATCCCTGGTTTGACATCCCTTTTAAAAGTCTTTATTTAGCCCTCAGTTTTTTGAAACACATTTTTCCTCCAATGTCCTCTCCTGTGTGCTGTTGCTAAAATGTAAGGAAAAAAAAAAATATATATATATATAGAGAGAGGGGGTGGTGAATTTTGACCACCAGTACTATAGACTGAGCCCAGGACTTTTGCACTGAGCTATATCCCAGCCCTTGTTTAATTAAATACTTTATTTCCTTCCCTTTCTTCCTTTTTTCCTCCCTCCCTTCCTTCCTCCTTTCCTTCCTCCCTTCCTCCCTTCTTTCCTTCCTTCCATCTTTCCTTCCTCTTTCCTCTCTTCCTTCAATCTTCCTTCCTCCTTTCCTTTTTCTTTATCTTTCTTTCTTCCTCTTTCTCTTTCTTTTCTTGTCTTCTTTTTTCTTTTTCTTTCCTTTCTTTCTCTTGTTCTTCCTTTTTCTTTCTTTCTTTTTCTTTCCTTTCTTTCTTTCTTTCTTTTTCTCTTTCTTTCTTTTGGTCTTATCACACCAAGTTTGTAATTGCTCAGCATGGATTTAAATTTACAATTCATCTGCCAGAGTCTTCCATGGTGTTAGGATGACAGGCAGGCACAACCATGTCCACTTTACGGTCAACTTTAACTTTGTATATATAGTGTCTTTTATTCTCTGCTTTTAAGACTTCTCTCTCCATTGCTGAAAAATGTCACTCCATTCTGCAGAAACTGTTGATGTTCCTGGGTGAGGTTTTCTTCACGCTTCTCATACTTTGAGTTCGTTAAGATGCTTTGGGTATGTAGTTTCCATCAAATGTTTAAAAATGCAGTTACTAGTTCCTCTAAAAATATTTTCCTCTTCTTCACTACCCTCTCCTCTGGTGAAATGAGTGTTTATTAGGCACTTGGAATTGTACTGCAGCTCACTCACTACTTTACTATTTAACTGTTTGTGGGTGTGTGGGTTTGTGCACGTGTATGCGTGTTTTACTTTGAGTCACCTGTAATGGTAATTTGGGTTAAATAATCTTTTCATCTGCAATGTTTAACTCACCATTAGTCCTATCCAATGTGGTTTTATGTCAGACATTGATGATTCAAATACCTGCAGACATTTCAATTTGTTCTTTTTAAAAATGTCTTTCATGACTGTATTCAACTGTTTAAAAATATGGAATCCACTTACAGTAGCTGTTTTAATGCCCTTATTTGCTAATTCTAAAAACAGTATGGGTCACTGTCTCTGCTTATCCTTGAATATAAAGCTTTTACGATTTTTCGGCTTTGGATACCTTCTTGTACTCTTAGAAATCTCCACAACTCTGTGCTAGGGCACCAGTAAGTATGTTGGAAACAATTTGATATTTTTAAATCTTACTCAAGATTTATTAGCAAAATTGAATCTCAGGTTAATTATCCTGCTCTACATGGACAAGAGCTGAGCGAGCCCTTCTCAGTGGTGCATGAATTAGGGGGTTTCCCTACACGACTGGTGGGTGCTGGCTTGTATTCCTGATGCTGGGTGACTGTCAGAAACCATCGTGTGTCATCCTTTCAGGCAGTTTCTCCGCAGGCCTCTGGTAGTGTCCTTGCATAGCGGAATGCTCTGCTCCCTGGTAAATATGACGAGGCCCCTTGAAGTTTGTCCTTCTGATTCCGGGGCCCATGAACTCCCCACACATTTATCTCCCTGCACCGTCTAATCCACTCAGGCTCCGTCTGGGCTCTGCTTGCTGCAGCAGAGTGAGCAAAGCGTCTCAAGGCAGTAAATTCTCATCTCCTTCCAAGCAGATGTTCTGGTATTTGTAAGGAGGGCTATTTCTGCTATACCACGTCTCTGGAGCTGGGAACTCTCAGGATATAAGCACCCCACCCTGGCATAGCATTTGCTGGGAATTGATAACTGAGCTTATGATTTTCAACAAGAAAAGCTAGAATGGAAACCCTCAAGCTTATGACAAGTGACTGATTTTTCAACTATGAATTCATTTTTATCCTTGGTGTGGACCCTACTTGTTGCCTAAACACATCGAGAGGGGTCAGAACATATTCCTGACAGTGGCTAAGTGTTTCTGGCAATACGTAACTTGGGGTATGGGTGAAAAGATGATATTCTTTAGCACTAAATCAATTCTGTATTTGGAGGAAAACTGAGTAAGTTCCTGAGTTCCTTAGAAAATTTGAGCAGGAAGAGCATTCAAGACAACATGCATCTGCTAATAAGGGCAGATGAATGCATGAGAAATCTGCTAGGAAATAAATGTAGATA